GCCTTGTTGACACCCGAGACCCCAGTGAAGACCTCAGAAGCAAGTCTCTACAGCATAGATATAAATAATCCTCATGGTAAATTTTTGGAGATGCACTCTGAGGAAACGTGAAAAACGGCTCAAGCTGATTTGCATAAAGTCACTCTTTAGGAGGAAGAGGGTTGACCATGGCTTGTCCCTGCCAAAACTCAGGTTGAGGCTCAGTGCTCAGTGTGTCAGGGATGGGAGTTGGGCTGGGCAGGGGGTGATGGGTCATGGGCGTGGGTTAATGTTTTCCTCATATTAGTGGCTTCTTGCTCCCGTGGAGGAATGGTGAAGGGAGTTCTCATGAAGGGGCGAGTCTCATCAAGGGGGTTCTCACGGGGTGAAGTTGCCTCCAGTGTCTTCTTTCACGCACTTGGCTTTGTCCTCCCGGTTTAGGGTTCATGGCCAGTCTTCCCACTCTGCCTTTCCCTTTGCCCAGTGTTATGTTGAAGCAAGGTCAGGGATCATATAGTCACGCACTTGGCTTTTCCTCCCACACCCCATGAGATTCTGTCAGATGCAGCTGTCCTATGTTAGGTATCCCCTTCCACAACCAAGAGCCAAAGCAACCCCCTTTGCCCTGTGGGTTGATTACGCAGCCTTAGTTTTTCTGTTGCAGCAACAGAAATGGACTCAGACAAGAAAACTCAGATGTTCAACAACACAATATGTGAAGTACTATCGATCAACATTGATAAATGCCAGTTTATAAGAGAAAGAGCAGCCTGTGGGAATTACACAAAAATGATAGTCAAGGTTTAAAAGTTATTCAGTGATTTACAGGGAAATGCAAACACATTGAGGGAGGAAATGGGCAATATAAAAACATAAGAAGAATTGAGAAACATGAAAAGAATATGAGTTTCACAAGTTGAAAAGTACATCTGAAATGAAAACAACTCATTGGGATTAAAATTCGCAGACATGGTAAACAAATCAGTGATATGAAGCACAGAGGGTATGGGATTGGAAAGAAGAAAACAAGGCTTCACTGTTGTGCAGTACTCTACACAGCCCTGGCTGGCCTGGAACTTACTCCAGACCAGGCTGGCCTTGAACTCACAGAGATCCTCCTGCCTCTGCCTCCCGGGTCCTGGGGTTAAGGCGTGTGCACTACACCTGGCAATAGATTTTATGATTCCTAATCTTGCTTCAAAATGGTACAGGGTAAAGGAAAAGGGGAAGGAGCAAGATTGGCCATGAATTCCTAATTATTGAAGATGAGAGATAGGTACATGGGCTCTATCCTGTTTCTCTCTTGAGTTTTGTATTTTTCAAGTTAACTGTAATAAACATTTTTCAATTACCTCCCCCCTTTAGTAAGAAAGTGGAGTCTTTATTCTAAATTAAACTTGGCAAGAAAGAGGTCACTGTGCATGGTTCTTGTCCTTTCCAACACGTCAGATATGTGAGTCCTGAAAACTCAGCTCTGCTTTCACGGCAGAGATGGGGATCAGGCTGTGTGAGTCAGAGGCTTGCTAGCTGGAGATGCGTCTCTCTCAGGCTATGTAGGCTTCAGGGTCTCTCTCAGACTGTGTAGGCTTCAGGGTCTCTCTCAGGCTGTGTAGGCTTCAGGGTCTCTCTCAGGCTGTGTAGGCTTCAGGGTCTCTCTCAGGCTGTGTAGGCTTCAGGGTCTCTCTCAGGCTGTGTAGGCTTCAGGGTCTCTCTCAGGCTGTGTAGGCTTCAGGGTCTCTTTCCAGCATTGGGGTCAATGACTTGACCAAACAGCTCTTGGGCCACAGACTTGCCAGTTGATCGATCACATGACTCTGGGAAGCATGGCGTGCTGTCCTGACCTACCTAGGTCAAAACATGCTTCCAGTTGGTCTCAGCTTGGGCACCCATGATGCTCACTGGTGACCGGTTCATCTCTTGTAATCTTGGGCCCACGTGTCAGCACAGGCCATGTGTTGCATAATCTTTTTACGTATCTGTTCATGATTTTGCTGTTAGATGGCACAAACACTTTGATCCTGAATACTTTTTTTTGACAATACATATAGTGACAATTATACAAATGTTAAATATTTGCTACCAGAGCAAAATCTGGGTGAATACTGTTAAACCAATTTAATTAATGGATCAACTCTTATTACTGTATAACTTTATTTCCGTTCTTTTAAAACTTTTACTTCGCTAGAAATATTCCCATTAAGTCTGAATCTTTGCAGTATAAAGCTTACAGTTTATTAAGGTTTTGCTTATTTATTATATTATTGATAATAGCTTTGGCGAGTTTTCATTTTTTTCCCTCCAAGATGTTTTTCCTCCTATTGATCTATTTACAATGTTCAGTGTTAGAAAGAGAAAGCAATAGCAATTTCTACATACAATATTTAGCCATTTCTAGTTTTATTCTTCTTCTGAGCTCATCAGTGGAGACCATTGGGAGCCATTTCCTAGGAAATTCTAGTGGCAAACCTTGTCAGCAAAAAATATCACCAGAGATAGGAATTTTGCAACTTTTACCACACTAATGTAAACAGATAGCACATGTTACTCTCTGTATTGGTTAGTTTTTTTTTTTTTCAATCTTGACATAAACTAGTGTCACTGGGAAGAGAGAACCTGAACTGGGAAAATGCCTTCTTTGTGCTGGACTGTGGGTGACTGGACATTTTATGACTAGTGATTGATGTGGGAGGTCCCGGCCTACTGTAGGCTGCTCCAGCTCTGGGTAGGTTCTGCCTTGTATAACAGAGCGAGCTGAGTAAGCTGGGAGAAGCAAGCTAGTGAGCGGCACTCCGCCGTTTCCTCTGCTTCAGCTCCTGCGCTGACTTTCCTCAGTAGACTGTGGCCTGGAATATGTAAGCCAAATAAACCCTTTCTTCCCCAAATTGCTGCTAGTGGAAGTCTTTATCATAGTGATAGAAACTAAGATACTCCCTGAATTTTAGGTAATATTTACTATACAAATTTGTGGCGACTCATAGACGTGGCTCTGTTCCATCTTGACTTAAGATCAGTGAGTTCGATCCTATTACTGCTCCTTCAAGGTTAAACTGCTGGATGTTTGGCCTAAGTATGGCGATTGTGTGCCTTGCCTAGACAACAGGATATTTGGCCTAAGGTGTAGCTAATGGATGTCTTACCTAAACAACAGGATTTCTGGTTTAGGGTGTTTTGGGTACTAAGGAGGTTAATTACATTGGTTTGTTTCTTATATCGTGGTAGGGAAATCCTTTTTTAAAAAATAAAATCTAATACGTGTTTTGAAAAGATTTATTTATTATGTACACAGTATTCTGACTGCATGTATGCCTGCGTTGCAGAAGAGGGCTCTAAATCTCATTATGCATGGTTGTGAACCACCATGTGGGAATTGAGCTCAGGACCTCTGGAAGTAAAGTCAGTGCTTTTAACCTCTGAGCCATTTCTCTGACCCCAGTAAGGAGGTCTTTTGCCCTCTCCCCTTTTGATTGGGGTATATAAGAACTTGGAGCAATAAACTTGGGGCTGATCCCAGCAGTCACTGGATGCCCTCCTGACTCTCTCTGTCTCTTCTCTACTTCTTTCCTCAATCCTCACACCTCCTTTCGAGCATGGACTGGATAAGTCTGCCGGACGAACACAAATTCTGCACATTGGGATCAACACACTTTCCTCTAAGCTGTGAAAGTTTACCCTTCATAGAACAGACTTGTCCTAAGGCTTGTAGGGGACTAAATGATCAACGTGTTTCCTAGGTAAAAGCACTTTATAATCATAATCAGTACACCTGTACAGAAGAGTACCTAGCAGATATGCCCCTACACATTTCCTTTCATAACTGGAGTTTCTGTTACCTCTTGTACACCATTTTGACTTTTGTGTTGGCCATTGCTTCAGCCAAGGGTATGAAGGGGAGCCTAGACGTTGGTGATGCTGTCAGTCAGAGGAGAGAGCGACAGAGCGGCTGACTTACCTAAGACCCACTTCATGATGAGCATCTCCGTCCAGGAGAACTGCGTGGTTTTCACTCTGAAGATCTGCTTGGGGTAGTCTGTGAAGGTCTCATTGGGCAGGGTCTTAACCCCTTCAAACCGGTCGGAGGCATTCACAACTAACAGTCCCAAGAAGATTGTAAACGACACCGCATGGGCTACAAACTTCATGAAGGGGCTCCTCAGGGTTCGTCCTAGCTGGAGACAAAGTGCACGGAAATGTTACAGTGACAGCTCGGGTGGGCACAGGTTCTCTGCAACAATTGCTTTATCCTACAAAACCACACTTCAACCAGGGAATCTCCCATCGTGGACAGAAACCAGAAAGAACACAGACATTTTCTCTTGTAATTTATACACGAATCTATGCTCTACTGACTTCAAAGGTTTTTTGTTTTTTCCTTTCTGTTTACAGATTTCAGGGGGAAAGGATAAGGGAGTAGTACCCTCAGCCTCATGGGTGTGATTTCACACCCTCCAAATCTGAGAAGACAGTGCTAAACAGCTACAACGTGAAAGTGCATGCTGGCTTCTACCCATTTACTTGGGCTTCCGACTTAGATTGCTCGTTTTCCGTCTTTCTTGTGTTGGTAAATTTACTTAGAACCACATGGTTCCTGCTATTACTTTACCTGCGCTGTCATAAAAGTTGTCATACCATGATGTGTGTATTTTTGAATTTTTCTTTTTGATTCATTTTGAACTCAGGGATTATTTGCTTTGCAGTCACATGGGACTTTTTTTTTCTTGCGTGGAAAAATTCTAGGGCAAAGTAGTAGTAGAGTCCCCATTTTAAGTAGTAGAGTCCCCATTTTAAGGCTTCCTGAAACAGCACAAGGAGAACCTGTCTCAAGAACATCTGCAATTTTACAGCAGCATGTTTACAGAACACAGACTTTATGTTACTATCTTAAAACTCACTGCTTTCTTCTTGTGGCCTGTTAATTGGTGTGATCATTTTAGAAGAACCCAGAATTCACCTCCCTAGGAAGCAGGCATTGGTAGCATCTTTTATTTCCAATATTACTCTCACCAAGTCTAACTCTTCCCCAGGTATACTGAAAAGAAGGAGACTCTTCAGCTGCCCAGCTCCTCCAGGGTGGATTCAGTTATAACCAGTGGCCGATTAACTGACTTTCACACATTACCTCACTTAAGAGTCTTGGAGTGAAATGTCACCTGAGAGACTGAATATCAGCTTGACTGAATGTGCACCACAGAGTCTCTAAGGTAAGATCCCAATGACAGCTGTGTTTAGTATAATATCCATATGTCAGCTTGCTTGATGCTGTTCTTCTAATGTGTTTCAGCTAGTAACCACCCCTTGTTCTAGTTGTCAGTGTAACATGAGTTATAATTGTTCTGATGTCATAGGAACTGATTGGGACTTTACAGAGCTGGTTTTTATCTTTTTAAAACATTCACGACTGAGGTCCAGACATTAGGAGTCCCTTAATCATGTAGAAAGTCACTGGTACCCACATGTATATTTCCATAAGACACACTAGGAATAACTTCAGAGGTGTAAAGAGATGTTTGTCTGAAAATCACAGGCCTACAAACACTTTACACACAATATTTCTATACTTTAATGTTTTAAGTTTAATATATATGTGTGTGGGTATTTATTGATTTTATGTTATTTTGACAATAGGCAAATATACTAATTTGGTAATTCAGAATAGAAAAATAAACAAAATATCTCCCATGAGTTCAGTAGAATCAAGATATATCTGAATTAAGCCATGTTGCATTTTGGTTTGTTACACATCAGGTGTCTAGTTTGGATTTTTCAGCATTTTAGACTATTGTCATCTTGGAGACTCGTTTTCCAACCTCTTGACCTCGGGCATTTTTCTGTAGCCAAGGGACATCCTTCTGTAGCCCTCACATTGTGTCCCTGTCTGAGTTGTCATAAGCAGGGAAGCTGGTGACCCTGGCAGAGGAGGTGTTGAGGAGCAGATGTGGGCTACTAGATCCGTGTGTCCCAGAAAGTCCATCAGAGAAAGATGGAGACCGTAGAGAAAGACACAGCTCTTAAAAGATCGCTGGCCAGTTTCCCTGTGGACTCTACCTGGGGTCTCCCACTGCTGAACCGTGTGAGAATACGGGGGTGGGGGGGTGGGGTAGAACCATTCCCGTCTTCCCACCTGACTCCTGTGGGTGTGACTAGACCTGAGGTGGCTGTGAGAGTCCCTGGAGTCCCCGCTGTAGGGAATTTATGTTCTTTTTATTACCTCTTTTAATGTAGTATCTTCTAGTAGTAGATGAGCCTGTAAAAATGATTATGTTTACTGCAAAATGCTGCAAAAAGTAAAACTCTTGACAGTGCCTTGCACCGATCTGGAAGGCTCCCCTGGTCTCAGTTTTCACTTGATGCAGTTAGTTGGGAGGAAAGGCGAGACTAGGGATCGATGGTTGGTTCTTGTCAACTTGAAAGCATCCCCTGGGTCAACCATAGGCAGATGAGACCCAGTCATCGCAGGGGCTCCTTTTCCTTCTTCTTCCTCTCCCTCCTCCTCCCTCCTCTTTTTCCTTTTCCTCTCCCTCAGCTCTCTCTCTATTGAGACAGGCTAGCCTCAACCTCATGGCAGTCTTCTGCCTCAAGTACTGGGACTGCAAGGGTATGCCACAGCACCCAGCTTTCTCTCTCTCTCTCTCTCTCTCTCTCTCTCTCTCTCTCTCTCTCTCTCTCTCTCTGTGTGTGTGTGTGTGTGTGTTTGAAATTTCCTGCTTTATCCACAATGATAGTTTCTGAAGCTAATTACCCTGGGGAAGAACTGTTTCCTACAAGCCTACTAGATGAGCCAAGAAAAGTTACAGGGTTAGGTTTAAAGCTGCTGCTGAGGCTTTGAGAGCACCCATCCTATGAGTCTGGAAATGTACTGAAGCAGCCTGGCCACTGCCTCGGCCTTGGGAGTGGAGAACTCGGCAGTTGCTGTGAGCCTGCACTGGCACTTGGGAGCATGAGGCAGGATGAACACGAGTTTGAGGGCAGCCTGAGATCCATAGGGAGTTCAGGTGGCCTTGGGAGGAGACACTGTCTTAAAGACAGAAATCTGGGCAGCTTACAAGCAACCTGTAACTCCGGCTCCAGGGAAACAACACCCTCTTCTGACTCCTGTGGGCACTGCACCCACATGGCGTCCACTCACATGGGCATGCACACATACACATTTTAAAGCAATTTAAAAGCAACAAAATCCAAAAATAAAAAGCCTAACTCAGGCCTCACCTATCTTCCTTTGGTGATAGTGGATTCATTTTAGAGTCTGACATTGGGGTGTCCTCATATCACAGTATGAGGCCACGCTTGCTTTTGGGGCTGAAGAAATGCTAGATGAAGGTATCTTTTACAAGGCAGAGTTTCTAATGAGGGCAAAGGGAGCAGGTGGTGTTTGGCCCATGGTAGGTTTTATTTCTCTTTTCTAGAAAAGTCTAGTCAGCTCTAACTATGTGAACCAAGTAATTCAGTTTATCCAGCAACAGCGGGGAAGCACAGGTTAAAAATGATGGCAACACTAAATAAGAGCTAACAATTCAGGGTTCAGGGCCACGTCTGCAGTGGGGTGACCAGCCTCCGGTACACCCCGGTCCTGTCCCAGCAGGATGTCTGCTTCTGGACTTCCCCTTGGGACTTGGTGTTGGCAGTGGAAGAGAAATACTGGTCGGCTGACACAAATGTGCCTTCCTGTGCTGTGACTGGAAAATTGCAGTGGGATTTTCTGTGGTCCAGGGTTGCCTTCAAAATGTTTGTGGGTGTGTGTGGGGGAGTGAGACCTTTAGAGTCTATGTTCTCTTCTGGTTGGCACCTGGATGGTGTGGACTGGGAACCCCTGTTTTTAACCACGGCTTGGTCCTTCAAAGCTGATTCGCCCAGCCTGTTCTCACCCGTGCTTATTTGGGGGTGGGGAATGGGTGTGCCTACAGACACTCGGGTATCCTCCCAAACAGGAACTGCACGACAGGAAGGCCTGACAGACTGCACACTGCAAAGACATCAGGTTGGATTCTGGAATTCAGTTTTCCCTGTGTGATTTCTGGGACTACTCTTGGCAGTAACTGAACAGCGATGGTTAATGGATGATGAATGAAGTTGCTTCCTTGGTCACCCCTTCACCTGGCCTCCTGCAGCCCCCTGACAGCCACGACGCTGACTGTACCCGATTCCACCCGCTGATGAGACCCTGCCTGGGGCTGTAATGTGTGCATCCTAGCTTAGGGCTCACAGAGGACAGAGAGCTGGTTAGTCAGCAGTGAAGACCCTATGCACAGGAGCCTTGCTAAGAGGATAAAGATGCCAAGAAATGATTTAACTCAATGCCACCGTTTTTAAGAACTCACTGGCTTCACACTGGCCTTCCTGGCCGCACCCATGTTGGTGATGGTCGTGAGGAACGGTGAACAAAATCTCTTACTTTTCTCTTGATCCTGGAAAGCCTGTCCCTTGCCATGTCTGCACTTGCCCTCGCCTGTGAACACCTGTCACTTGCTGATGCTCTTCAGATGACAAATTAATGAGCTGCACTTCTATTGGTAAGCCTGTTTGGGTAGTCTCCTTATTTTGTTTCCTAGGGACCCCCACAACTTACAATAGTAGAAAAGACAGGTTTAGGTGTCCGATAAGAAGTTAATAATGAGTTCATCTCAGAAGGCTATTCTGATGGCCTCAGTGTTGGTAATTGTCACTAGGAGGAAAACACACCATTAGGTTGGGAACAGACCCTCCTAACAGTCACTAGTTGCTGATGGACACGAGCCAGTTAATGAAGTTTGTCAGTGACATTTTACAAGTCCACCTATAAATGAATATGGCAGACTAATGTCTTATCTGGGCACATGGTAATGTCATTGTAACATGGAATCCCTGGAATGACATTGTGTTTTCATGAGCCTACATAAATCGCTATCAAAGCAGTGACCTCATTGGGAGAAGATCAGCCTATTAGATCCTCCCAGTGCCCCCCTCCTGGGAGGATGCGGTATTCTGCGCACCGGGAGCCCCAAGAATGGGCTGGCTTTGTTACAGGCAAGATTTGACCTCTCTGTAATTCCCAGCAACATCTCTGTCAAACTTGAAAAGATTTTTTTTTAAGTGGTAGAAGGAAAGACTAAAAATTCCTTGATTCCTTTGTCTGTCCCTTAGCCGCCTCAAAGCAGGCTTGACAAGCACTTTAATGAGGGACTCTTTCCTTTTATTGAGTGATGCCCCTGAGAGGCATCCCACGTAACAGACTTAGGCCTGTCAGTCACCTGTTCACTGTGTCCCCCTCCTGTTGTACTTAGACTTGGAGTCTAATAAATGTGCTGAAGGGGAAAGTGGCTTCCTAGTCAGCCTATGTATATCACGAGTGTTTTATGTTTTTAGTCTTGCTGAAAAATGTCAATCAAGTATTTGAAAAGAGGAAAGGAAGACCCAGTCAAGTGCTAAATCTGCCTGCAATAATTTCCTCTGTGAGTGTTCCAGAAGAGTACTCTAGGTGTAGCCTCTATTTCCGTGAATGTGTTGGCTTCCTGGGTTCCCTGGGCCTGGAAATTCCACAATGCCCTGCTGATAAGCATACCTTTTTTGGGGGAGTTGAGCATGTATTATGTTATTTTCTGAGTCTTCTCAGACCTGCCACAGGTTTAAGAAGAATTAGAATCTTACCCAAGGTGCTGGGCAGACAGAGGTGCAGCCATTTGCTGGTGTTGGCTGGCCCTGGGCTCCTGGAAGCTGTCACAGTCAGTTTTGTTGCGGTCAGGGGCAGTTCCTCCATCATGTTGTTACTCTAGTGCCTGAACACTCCCGAGAGTGCTCTGAGGCCTAAGAGAGCAAGGCAGATGTTCGGGGCCATACAGGTTCTCTCTCTCTCTCTCTCTCTCTCTCTCTCTCTCTCTCTCTCTCTCTCTCTCTCTCTCTCTCTCTCTCTCTCTGCGTGTGTGTGTGTGTGTGTGTGTGTGTGTGTGTGTGTGTGTGTGTGTGTGTGTGTGTTTGGGCAGGGGTGTTTCAATCCACTACAGACTACTTGGTTGCAGCCTCAAGACACAGCGTTAAGACATGCACCAGAAACCTGTGGCTCACAATGGTCTAGCTTGGGTCTAGTTACTTCCTTTGCACTCTCTGGCTCATTTTAAAAAGGAACCAAAACAAAATGAAAACCTAACCTTGCTTACATAGAAATTATTTGGAGAATTTTGACTTAGAAATCCATGACAGGAGACTGCCATAGAAATAGGGCTCTCAATAGCTATTAAGGCTAGACACAACAATGGCAAAGGGTAGTCTTGGAGTTTTCCAACTATGGGAGGTGTTTGCTCCCTCTCTGGTTGCTTACCTATGCCGAGTCACTGAGTCCCTTTCCTGGCTGCTTTGGTGGCTGTGGCAACATTCCTGGACTCACTGTTCTGACCCGAGTGTCCCACTCACTAGTGGACTGGACAGGAGGCTCAACTCAGTGTCGACACCGTACTAACTGTACCAGCTGATGAAGCTGTGTGTGGAGCCAGTCTCCCTAGAGGCGCGCTCTTCCCCCGAGTGCTGGTCACCTAAGTTTAGTTCCTTTCAAGATGTGCCACTAGATAAATGTAGCTGGAGAGCCTTTAAGATAAGGTAAACCCGTGGGACATGTTTCAAGGCTTCTTTATGGTTTGACCTTTTGGGCAAAAACTCTTCCTGGAGCTGGGGCGTGGGTGCTTCCTGGTTGGTCCCAATGTCTGGGCCACGAGGAAGGTGGAGTCCGTAGCAGCACAGGTGTCGGAGTGCCTCTAGGGTCTGCTCCTTTAGGCAGAAATTCAGTCCCATACTTTCTGGACCCCCCCACCCGCTTCTTCTTGGTCCAATTAGTCTATCTAATTGGTCATGTGGACTGGAACCTCTTGATGGAGGCTAGAAGGATGTTGTCACCAGTGTGCAGGGCCTGGCATGAGCCCTCTGCTTCCTGCAGCGTGTGTGTGTGTGTGTGTGTGCGCGCGCGTGCGTGTGCATGTGTGTTCTAAAGTAATCAGCAACTATCCCAAGAAGAACACATAACAAAGTTCTCAGGGAGCATTGGATGCTTCTACACCATGAGGATAACGAGAGCACTATGAGCTGGGGGACATATCTGCACACTGTAGTTTGTACAGGGCGCTGCGTTCACTCTCTATCCTGCTGTTCGCTCGGTCAGGGGTGCCTTACATGTTTAACGCATCTCTATCCTGCTGTTCGCTCGGTCAGGGATGCCTTACATGTTTAACGCATCTCTATCCTGCCATTCTCTCGGTCAGGGGTGCCTTACATGTTTAACGCAGCCCGTCTCATCATCATCACCCTCCTCCCTTTAAAAGCTGCTGATGAAAATCAGACCTTGAGGTTTTTCTCCTTTTGTGGGTCTTCTACTTTTGCTCGATACACCAGGGCTTCTCTCCCTCCCCTCCCTTCTTCCTCCTTCCCTCCCCCCTTTCCTCGTTTTCTTTTTGTCTTTCTTTACGGCACTGGGGCTCCGACCTGGAGCCCATGTGTGCTAGGCAAGTGCTTCCCCCAGCCCCAGCCCAGTTTAATACTCGGACCACACAGGGAAGGTTCTTCTGCCGACGTGGCGTGCTAAGAGGAGAGAAGGAGTAACTGCAAATGACATGCACCTTACGCAGTTTGTACCTTGCTGCACGGAGCAATCCAATAGGCTATGGCGAGAAAAGGGAGGCCTATGGAGACTCCAAAGACAGCCAGGAATTTCACAGCGATAGACTGTTGCCGTAAGCCTGAGAGATTTTCATACCACATGGTAAGTAATTGCTGCTGACAGTTAGGGTGAGCAACGAACTGTGAAAACAAAACAAAAACAAAAACAAAATGCAAACAGGAAAATGGCGTCATAGCACTTGAACAGTACACAACCCAGGAGGAACATTGGAGCGAGGGAAGCTATGGCAAGCAGCAGAGGGAGGGATCAGGGATAGGCAAGACTTCCTGACCTGGGCATGCTGACAAGCCACCGGAGTGAGGGAAGGAGAGAGCAGGGATAGGCAGGACTTCTGATCTGGGGACCCAGAGGCTGAGGCTGGAGACTCCTTAGAGTGGCAGAATTGTTGCTTTAACCAGGGGCCTGGAGAAATCTCAGATTTAGGAAAGGGCAGATTTGGGATAAATGCTCGTCTCCAATCCAGGCTGGTCAGCTGATCAGAGAGACTTATCTCTGCACAGAGCTCATCAGTAAGGTACACAGAGTAAATCGATACCAGGTTTGAATTGTGTTTTATCATTTGTTAGCTAGGCACCTCTGGACAAGCTACTTAACCTCAGTATTCTCCTAGGCAAAACAGAGTTTATCATACCATCTTGGGTATTGCAAAACAGGGTTTACCGTATTGACTTGGGGATTAAGTTAGGGATTATGTCTCCTGTGCAGCTGAGGAAATGCTTACACTTCTCCAGAACCCCAGGGCCTCCTTCCTCACTGGTCCCATGCATCCATGCTGGAACACTGACACAGTGTACCTCCATGTAGGACTTTCCTGTGGGGACATCAGTCACCCCTCTCAACATGACCTCCTTCTCCTGGAACTGTTGACTCTAATGGCTAAGTCACAAATGAACCCCCAGTGGCCATTTTGTCCCCACTTGGTACAGATGCTGGGCTAGGACTCCCAAAGTTTTGTCTCTCAGGTGTTCGGGGCTGTGCTGAGGGGCAAGGGTGTACTTGGCAGGCAGTTACTTGTGACTTGGGTTACACACAGACAGCTCTTACTGTGTAGACTCATTCTCCATACAAGCCTGTGGAAAGGAGAAGAGGGTGAAGGTGTGTAACAAGTGCATGTCCCTGACTGGGGCTGTCCTGAACCCTGCTTAGATGTGCAAAGAGATGTCTTTGTAGACAAAGTCTGCCTTATTTGCCTTGATCTGGCACGTTGAGTTGCTGTAGCCAAAAGCATCCTTTTTCGGTGGACAATTGTTGCTACCTGGCCATCAATTTAGCTAACCCTGGGTCTTGGCCAGAGGAAACTGATGATAAACAGTATGTAAGCTAAGAAAAAATGTGGGAATAAAGTTTACATTTGAGAAAATGTGATGTACTTGCCCTTTTTCTCCATGGCAGACAGAAGGCATTATTTGTTTTTGGCAGGCCTGTCCTTTGGCCCCACTGAGGATTCCCGTGAGCCAGAGAAGACAGACGGGGCATCATTTACAAGCTTTCCCACTGCTCAGCCCGAGCAGGGTGTGCCCATTTTCCTCTCACTGGCCTCACTGGTATTGAGGGGACATGTCCAATGCCTCTGAGTAATGCAAAGCATTCCCTCTCCATTATAAGAAAAATAGAGTTATAGAAAATTCTCCATGCAGATGGCAGCACTCACATGCCTTCATCTCTGGGAGTTTACAGTCTGAGCAGATTATCTGTGAGGACACCTTGTAGAATTACCACATTCACAGCAGCCATTGTGGGCTTTCCCTCCAGAACGTTCTCTGTGATTGAGGGAGGGACCCTGAGCCAGCATGTGCTCTAGTCCCCTGGCCCCTTTCCTCCCAGCAAAGTGGAACCAGTGACAGGAACTGGTGTAGATGTTACTGGAATTTTCTGG